GTGGCAGGTTCCCCTCCCTGCTTTTTTTAAAGCTTCCAAAGATAAATTGCATTTTGCTTCAAGATAATGAAATTTCCTTGGAGGAGAGACGTTTTTCTGTAGCTTTTGCATTCAGAACATGAGAAGAGCTTTTATTTTAAATCTCCATTGAAAGTGTTTGTCTGTCTATATTTCGCTTTCTTCACCATGAATGTTCTGACTTCACAGAGCCAGCAGAGACCCAGAGATGGAGTGTTTCTGTCACTTATTATAGCTTGCCTTGGCATAAAATTTAATCTTCAGATTTTTTTTGTCCTAAAGAAATGAAAGTTGAACCCAGATTAGAAACAGATAAAAAGTCATCCTTCCTCAGACAAGGAGTTTTTGTTTTTCTCTTTTGCATTTGCCTTTGTTAATCCTCTGCCTTCAAAGGGAACAATGAGATCCTTCCACCTGGAGAGACTGGACAAAAGGAAAATGGGGAGCAAGTAACATGCTTGATCTGTGCTTGTGTTGTCCTGAGGCCAGCATGTCTATTGGGACTTGCAACCATCCTGAAAAAACGAATTAAAGAGAAAAGCCATGAAGCAGAATTTGCAGCATCTATGAAACCAAAGTGAATTTTTTTGCTCCGAAGAGGAGAACTCACTGATTTTTACCTTGTCCTGCAGAGAAAGTTTGTCCTGCCATCCATTGCTAGAGGAGCAGGTGCCTTCCCTGCCTCTGTAGCTGGTGGCAGTGCGGAGTGGAGAAAGCTGCGGGTCCATTGCATTATATGGTGCCTGGCGTCGCACCAGAGCCTGTCTTAATGTTGCTCTCATCTTTTGTTCAATCATGTGTAGTGATTAATATGTTCTTGGGCGCTGAGAGGCTCGAGGCACTTGGCACTTGACTGTCTCCTATTTCTGTACTTAATAAACAGAATATTCCACAAGAAGAACTTGCAATTTATCTTTTGCTACTGTGTGGGGAGTTACTCTGAGTCCTGGCTCTGACTGCATCTCTTTTTTGCCCAGGGAATTAATAGACTCTTCCATACACTAGCTCCCTCTGTTCTCACTCTGGTTGCCAAATTAACCTTCATCTCACCTACTTTTTCTTCACGTCTTGCTTCAATTTAGTCCTCAAATTGTTCACGTGACAAAGGAGTCGTCCGTCCTACAGCTTCTACTTCTGCTCTGATAAGATACCTGAATTTTCTGTGAATGCCTGAAAAGGAGAATAACTTTTCTCCCTTCATTTAGTTTCCCTATGGTATCTTAAGTCCAAAAGTCTCCCTGAGGTTATTTCTCCTGGGAGTACAGTAAGCAGTTTGGACTGCACTGTGCCAAGTGACTGAGTTGTGCCCTGAATACACTGAGTGTTTACTGGTGCTAATTAATGTTATTACATCATTTTACATTTATTTGGACTCGCAGGAGGGGGTTTGACTACACAAGGAGTGCTGCAGGGGCTGGATGCTGCTCACCAGCATTGCCCGTGCTTACCCATGTCACCTGGCTTGCATGCTGTGGCACACGAGACAAGTTTGAAATGCTGGAAAATTGAAGGACTCTGCTTTTCCTTCAGGGGAAGGGGATTTATCAGCTCCTCAGGCTTTGAATTCTGGGAGGATGCTGTAGTTGCGTGCTTTTTCTCTGCAATTAATGCACAGGCAAGCTGCTGGGTGCAGCCTGTGCTGCCTTGGCAGAATTAGGGATGTGAGAGCACTGCTGAGGATGGCTTCTGCACTGTGCAGAAATCTTCCTGGCCTCCCCGCAGGCCTGGCCTCAGCTTAGAAAATAAACCGGGAGCGTCACGGCTGCTTTAGTGTCTATGCTTATTCTGGCTAGGGGAAGTTCCTGTGTCCTCTGCCAGCTCCTCTGTTCTGCGGGGCTGATGCACGGGAAGGCTTGTTTGACATTTATGCCTGCTCTGATCTGCTCCGATGTTAGTGAGTGGCTTGCCAGGGACCTCCTGCCACCAAAGACACCTTCCTAGTGAGCCCCCTGGTCTGAGCTGGGCAGTAGCTCTGGTGCAGGACAGTAGCCTTGGTCACCCTCTGGGTGATGCACCTAATGTCGCAGGAGATGTCAGGCTCCCAGGGCTTGGGCTTACCGCTTTGCAGCTCAAAGGGTTTGGGGTGACCCCTCCAGAGCACCCTTTGCAGCGTGATTGTTGCCACCACATGCACAGGGACAGCTGGGTTGGATTTGTCTTTGTGCTTCAGCTGGTCCCTTCGCAGCAGGTACAGTGTGGTGCGGGAGGATGGGGATGGTCACAGGCTGTGACACCTTTGATCCTGAAAGTGGTTTCAAGGGATTTTTGAGGAGGAGATTTGTACTGTGGCATATGATAACTCCTTTTGCTGGGATCCCAGATCTTCATCCTCCAGAAAGGGTTTGGCATCGCCTGAAGCATCGTCAGAGAACAAAGGCAAAGCTGTTAATTAAGACAGAGCTAATTCTGGCAGCTGACTGCCGCCATCTCGATGCGCTGCCGGCTGTGTGCTGTGGGAACAGAGGGACCAGCCGTGCTCACTGGGCACAGAGCTGCCGAAAACCTTCCCGGAGGCTGTTAGTGCTCTTTGTAGGTCTTTGCCCCATGCTCTTCCTACACGGGTGCCTAGTGGGCAGGACTGGAGTGTACTTGTGGCACGGAGGGGTGGTTTTGCCTTCTGGAGGGTGCTGGCCGAGAGCCATGGTGTGCTGCTCTTTTTGCCTGAGGTTCAGGGCCTTTTGCTCTGTTGGCAACCAGTGGTAGCTCTGGGTTGTGAGGTCCTGAGGAGAAGCAAGCTAGATCCCATCTCACTGGTGGTCTCCTGGTCCTGGGGTGGGGACCTAGTGATGAATAGTGTGCTGTGGGAGAGGCCTCCCACTGATGGCTGGCTCAGAGGGGGAAACAGAGCCAAATGCGCCAAAAACCCAGCTGCCTTTAACGTCCTTGGTGCTTCCTCCAAGGGGATGCTGGTGGACATGGTCTCTGTGACTGCTCTGGGGCAGCTGGTGACCATGATCCCATCAGGTGAGCAAGAAAGAGTGGCCCTGTGGCATGATGCTGCCGCCTTCCTGTGCCTGGCCTTCAGACGGCAACATGGTGAAGAGGCTTTTTCTGAGGCACTTCCTCCAGGAGAAGTGAAGCATTGGTGTTCAGAGACTCGGAGCAAGGCTGACAGAATAGAAAGCTTTTTGAACAAACACAGCTGGCTTTTACCCAGCGCAGCCAACTCTTTGGCCAGCTGAAAAGAAATCAGAAGAATATTGATATATTATTTTTTTTCCCTATACGAAAATTGTCAGGCTTTTTTTGGTCAAACATTGGTTTCTGAATGCAAGTTTTTCAGTTGATAACAATTATTTGGGGAACAAAGAAAACACAACTGAGGCAGTTCTCTGGATAACTCACAGGCTCAGCTCTTCGCCTCTTGTATTTTCAAACGATTAACATTTTTTTGCTTTGCACATCATGAATATTCTATACTTGAGCTGTTACTGAGTTGTGCTAGATCAGATAAATAACATGGTGTTGCTTTTGTGGCAGACTGGATAAAGATGCAAATAATACTGACATTTACTTCACAGTTTTCTTTCTGTGATCCTCTGAGTGAGTAAACTGGATTGCTGAGATATTGATGGGAAGGAAATGAAGAAGGTTGTCAAGATGAAAGCAAATTTCCTTAAAACTTAGCCAGAAGGTTCTTGGCGATTTTTTTCTGTTATTTGCGCAGCTGAATAGGAGCTGCTTGAAATATATTTTGCACAACCGCAAAAGAAAACTCTTGTTCCTGTGGCACCGCTGACTATTTTTTGCCCACTCTTTCACTGAAAAGCTCATGATTTCCCAGTGCTCGGTGCTCTGCGGGGTTGCTGGTCCCACCGCGGTAGCAGACACAAGCCCTGCCTGCAGGCAGGCGGCCGTGACCTGAATGAGCGCTCACTGCCTTCCTTGCCCTCACTGTTTTTCCCCTCCCGTGTGCGCTGGGATGCACGAAGCCGGGAGGAGGGAGGGATGGGGTCAGCTTTGTGCCAGGTGAAGCAGCTGCCGGGTTGGGGAGAGGAGCTAAGGGGGATGCCGAGTCCTGGGAAGGGCAACGAGAGCCGGCTTGGTGCAGTGCATCCGGTGGGAGGGACGCGGTGAGTCTCCTTCTGGAGGGGTCCTCTCAGAGGCCGCGGGGGTAAATTGCTCCCGGCTGCGCAGGGGTGATGTCCCATGCTGCCAAAGGCTCCTGGGCATCACCCTGGGTGCGGGTGGCCTCGGAGGCAGGAGCCTTGGGCCAGTGACAGGGCTGGTGGCAGAGGGATGCTGGGGGCCCTGGTGTCTCCCGAGCGAGGGAGGGCAGCCTGCTGCTCCCCTGCTCCCAGGTGCCCATCTCTCCTCGGGCCCTGGAGTGATGCCCTGCAAACGGCGAGGGTGCTGGGAGAAGGCGAGAGGCTGAGAATACCCCCGCGTTGACCTGTATGGACGCTGTGTTCTGAGCCTGAGGTGGGAGCAGCCATATTGGGGGGGGGGGCAGGGGGCCCGCCTCGATGTGGGGCAGCCTGTTCGCTCCAGCTTCCTCTGTGGGAGCAAAAGAGGGGAATTGGATTGCGGCGGCCTGAGCCAGCCGGCCCCCCCGCTCCCTCCTCGGGGCCCTGCGGTGCGGGCTCGGGGTCCGCCCCGTCGGGGGTGCCGCTGAGGGGAAAAGTGGGGGGAGGGCGGCGGCGGGCCGCCAGGGGGCGCCGTCCCCCTTCGGACGGCAGC